ATGGATCTGGAGGCTCCTGGAGGAGAATCTGGCCTATGGTCTTCACTCATAGCGAATGGTCGTAGATCAGTATGAATAAAACGGTGAGGGAAAATGAGAAGAGTGTGAGAAGGGGATGGGCGTCTTATACTTTGGCAGAGGCGGGGCCGAACGTTGGAAGCATGGCCAACACATTGACTTCAAGCGCTGACCATTCCGAGCCACGCAATTCGCATCGGTTCATAGCGGCAGGTTAATTAGTGTATACGCATCACAGTGCAATGAAGGGAGATGCAAAGTCGAGAGAGCTCTGTCTACTCTAGAGTCGAATTACACAGCAGCTCCTTCATGCTAGGTCTGGCGTTGTCAAAGTTCAAGTTGGCCCCGATAAGCCTGCATGCTAATGTGGTAGCAACTGTTCCGAGTCGAATTTCAAGCACACGACGAGACCGGTGCATAGGAAGAGACAAAGGTGCTGATATTGGTGAGGCGGCTCTGCTGCAAGTAATGGTATCATGAGCTCACTAAGGCCAGTGACTCAGGCTGCCACTAGTCTGGCAAGTCTCTCCTACGACCGAGTATTCGAACACTGGCACCCGACCAAAAGGCAGCGAGTTCTTTTGATGAGCTGGCGCGTGGGAAGTACGCGCATATGCATAATAACGTTCGAACTTCGCGCAGGCAATTCTATTTTACTTGAAACGATGGCAGCTGCTTCAGAGGAACAACCAGTCATCAACAAAAACAAGAGGCATCGCAAAGAAAAACGTAAGCTTCCAAACCTTCCTTATCAATCCATGAAGGCAACTTTACATTTCAGCATGGGACACCGATGACATCGACCAGTGAGCATCGCCCGCACGTCAATTAAAACCACTTCTCACCATACCTCCTCTCCAGTGTGAGCACCCAAATCACACATGCTTTAACACGTACTCAACTCTACTCCAGTGGAAAATCGATTCATTCCAAGCAGATGACAACAAAGGCGGCGTATTCACCGAAGAATCTTCTTTCGCAACCCTTTTCCCAAAATACAGAGAAAAGTACTTGAGGGAGGTTTGGAGCGCCGTGACCAAAGTTCTGGACGCCCATGTGAGTGCTCACATCCATTCCGCCATACGATGTACACCATCAACTCAGCACCCAGGGCATCGCATGCACACTGGACCTAGTTCACGGATCCATGTCCGTCCGGACAACACATAAAACATTCGATCCACACATCATCCTCAAAGCAAGAGACCTCATCAAACTACTCGCAAGAGGGGTTGCGATCACGCAGGCTCAGGAGGTATTACAGGACGACGTGGCTTGCGATATCATCAAAATTGGGAATCTGGTGCGTAATAAGGACTGGTTTGTGAAGCGGAGACAGCGGATTATTGGACCGGATGGTAGCACGCTGAAGGTGAGCGTTGCATATTTTTGACTGTGCGCATGTCGTTGACTTTTTTCAGGCTATTGAGCTATTGACTCAGTGCTATATTCTCGTACAAGGGAATACCGTCGTGATGGGTCCGCACAAGTCACTAAAATAAGTCCCACGAATAGTCCTTGATTGCATGAAAAACATTCATTCCATCTACCGCATCAAGGTGTGTCAACTAACATTTGTTCTTTCTGCAGCTTTATTGAAACGTTCGCAGGAACTCATGATAAGAAGGGAACTCGCAAAAGATCCCAAATTAGCAACAAAGTCCTGGACTGGTTCCTCCCCACGTTCAGGAACATCTGAAGACCTCCGAAAAGACGATGAAGAAGAACGGGAAAGTCGCTGCCAAGGAAGAAGCGCGCAAGGCTTCAGGCCTTGATGCATCGAGTTCCGACAAAAAGGAGAAACCAGCGAAGAAAGTGTACACGCCCTTTCCCCCGCCACAACAATTACGGAAGGTAATTCACTCTGCTGCTGGTTGTCGAGTAGTGCTGATGTTCGGTTATGTCTAGGTTGACCTTCAGCTCGAGTCGGGAGAGTATTTCCTCAAGTCCCATGAATGGGAGGCCCGGGAAGTTCAACAAGGAAAACAAAAGGTGCGTGTTTACTGTGCAGTCCACAAAAAACTCATTTTATCTACAGCAAGCCGAAGCAACCCTCAAACGACGAGCAGAACGGGCAGAAGTATACGTCGCTCCCACAGGAGAGGCGGCCCCCACAGTTGAGGAGAAATGAAAGCGACGGCACACAGAAGTAGATGGCAAGGATGGGACGGCAAGGTAAAGGACATTGCTGCCTAGGCGCAATGGACTTTTCACACCGTTCGTGTGCACATTGTGAACGCAATGCTACTTGTAGAATATTTTGATGCATGCTGCGTATTGAAGACATCCTACTGCCAACACTAGTGGTACTCAGGATAAATCTTGAAGCTTGGTTAAAACGTCTTGAAAACTCGGCTACTCTAACAAAACACAGCCATGCAATACCTGCAATTGAAAGTCAGTCTGTCGGAGTTTAGAAATACATGCCTGCTGTTAGTCAATGTGCTTGCTGGTCTGCACAACTTCAAGCCAACACCTGTCTGTGCTTGAGGGGAATGGACCCCCCCCCCCTCCATCCAGTTCATCCATTCAATCTGTCTCATGTGATCCTGGACCCAGGATCACAGTTCAGTGGGGAAAAGAAGATGCTCTTACTGATATCCTTGTAGATCACATAACATCTCACCCTGCTGATAGTCACATTCTCTTCTATTCTGAGGGTAAGAAAATGGCTTCTACTGACAGTGAACAGGCATTGGGCAAGGACAAGAGTGACATCTACACTGTCCTTGCCAAGCTCATATTTGCCAATCATGCCAAATATGGTGCTTAGTGATGCTTCAGGCCTGGCCTGGCCTGAAAGCCAGGGCTTGGGCCTGGCTTTAGAGGGCTCAGGCCTGGAAGAAACTCAGGCCAGGCCCTTTTGGAGGGCCTGGGCCAGGGCTTCCAAGGTAAGATGAAGGTTTTATTTCACTACCCTAATCAATTAGAGACCTAATCCTTGACATCTGATTCACCTGACAGTATGATGTTGTCATCAGAGCCACCCTCCTCTCTATCATCCAGTTCCTCCAATGCTAATTCTAAAGCTGAAGAAGGAGGGGCCTCTTGAAAGATTAGATCATGTTGATACATCATATGAAGTACTTGAATTGCTTTGACTATATCACCCTTCAAGCGGTTGTGATGCTTTGTGACAGTCAGAGCAGCAGCAGAAAAAGCTCACTCACTTGAAACAGAAGTGGCCATGATGGACAAGTGATCACAAGTGAGAGAGGCCCAAACAGGGTACTGCTGACCATTCACCTACAATATTAAGCTACATCAGTAATAACACAGTTCACATGAAATGATACTTACTCCCCACCATTGGATGATAGACATGTTATCAGGAACTGAAGTGGGTGAGTTAAGATAGAGGTGGAACTCCCTCAACCATGGCAACTGTGGATCCACCTCTGACTCTTCTGGCTCATCATCACTGGAAAGCTCTTGGAGAAGTCCATATACCTTACCTGACTTCTTCTTCAGTGATGATGGAACACCATGCTTGCCATACAACTTAATATGCTCTTCCTTAAACTAGTCTAGATGTAAGCTTATACTTTTGCTCGAAAACAGAAGACCCACAATTCATTTGGCTTCCTTGAGAGCCTTGGCATGTGTGACCTTACCCCAAAAGCATTTGATGTGGGAGTCCTTCTGTGATGGGTCAAGTACTAGATACAACAGGCCCAGGAGTTAGTATTAATCATATGACAAGCCACATCACCTACACATTGTGATGATGTATGCATCACACTCCGAACTTCAGTTGTAATACTCATGGATCTTTGCAACACCTTGTTGTAAGGCTTCCTGAAATGCCTCATACTTGGGATTCTCAGAATGAGTTGACCATGCCTTATGTAGGGCCTTGAGAGCTGGCAAAGCAAGGTGAAGGGATGCTCCTTTGTTGGATGAAAAGCTTTGCTGAGCTTTGTCAGCATGCTGAAGTGATAATCAGTTTCAACAATGACAAAAAGACAACCTAAGACTCACAGCAAGAAGAGACATGAATAATGCAATGTGAGCCCATTCATCTTCACACAACTTCAACTGATCAATTTTGGCACATTTTGTAAGGTTAGTCTCATGAAGGCCAAGTTCATAGACAAATGTATCAACAAATTAAAGAACAGTTAGTTTTGACTTGTTAGTTATATTATCATACTCACAGCTTGCTTCTTCTCAGCATGGTCAAGCATAACATAAGTTGAGGACCACCAGATGGGCATGTCAAGTAGTAGTTGTGAGACAACTGGGCTTGGGTTAGGCTGATGGGTCTGGATATCCTTCCAAAGTTGTTTTCATTGGGCAGAGGGCCGTGCCTTGTATCATTAGTCAAATGACATTGAAATGTTTTGAAAATGACATACCTTGACTGCAATTGCTCATGCAAGGCCAACTTCATCACAGTGGCCATGTGCTTGGGGGATAGACAGGTCTGGGAGCTTGGGGTTATAGTATGGGGCACTGCTATATGAGGCAATGATAGCTTGTGTTGCAAGATGAATGACATGAGCTAAGCACCTGCAAGGTTTACATTAGTACAAGGGTGAAACAAATAGTTAGTTAACTATACCTAATACATCGCTTTTTTGGGATCCACGTCATACCTGTCCCTTGCTTTATCCAAAGTGCCAGTTCATCAAGCATTGTATCATTATTTGAAGCATTGTCGCATGTAATATGGCCAATCTAATCTTGCATGAGTACAACATAACCAGGCATTCCAAAGTACCTTACCTTATGAGCAATACCCACTCGGTCCACAATCTTAAACAGTGCTTGACCAAGGTGTTGTCTGTTGTGTGAGTTGTTGAGTTGTGCGAACCCCAGGACAGCACATTCAAGCTGCCAAACACCAGGTGATGTTTCCTTGATCCAGTGGCCAGTGGTAGTGAAATAACTGTCTGCATTACTTGCCTGCCATGCATCACATGTTAAGTTGACAGTGCCAGATACAAGCTTGCTCTATTTGCAACGTCAGTTAATGATAATCAGACAAAACAAAAACTTAAATTGAGCCGGTCCTTTAACTTTGTCATCTGTGTCTTGAACAAGTCCATGATGTTGCGGCACATAGCATTACAATTTGGTAGGACCACACCATTTGTAGCACGGGCTGCTATGTTGATCATGTTCTTGAAGCTCAGATGATCTACAGCTTGGATTGGCTGTAAAATCATGTTAAACATCATATCAAATGCAAGTAATGAATACTTACCTGGCTAGTAGATATCAGCCAATCAATGGCAGCCTCATGGAAGAGTGAATCAGTATAAGGTATGACTACCTTGTTGGGAGGAATCTCTTGGAGGTGTCCATCAAGACTTGTTTGCTGCATGTTCACCACTGCGGCTGTGTTAAGAACCATGCTCAAAGGAGAGAGAGACTGACTCAGAGGGGCTTGGCCTCAGCTTGTATGCTGTGCCCCTTACCCGAGTATGTGCCCTTCATTTCAGAGGAAGTCCGATGATGGTCCGACAAAGTCTGGAGGACTTCCAGAGGCTGGCTACTCTGGTGGAGAGTGTGGGAGAGTTCCAGAGGGATGCAGGAAATGCTCAGGAGAGTTCCCGCTGCAAGGTAATACTTTGACATCTTGAAGTAGCATTGACTTGAAGTTGTTGGTCTTGCACCATTGTCAATAGGCATCCTATAAACATTAATACACAAATGAAGCATCAAGATTGAAATACTAAACTTACCAGATGCTGAAAGGCAATGTAGCATCGACATGTTGAAGTGTCGCTAACAATCTGGCATGGGTAATGTTTTTTTCTATGAATTTGTTAGTTGGGAGGTAGCAAATCGAAGATATTACTTACTTGCATGGCTCGCAGTCTCGAACTGTACAAGTCTTCCCATCTTTGGCCTTGTGTGTGTATGGCTTGCTGAAAAATGCACTGACATTGTGGCCCTTTTCCTCATGTCAAACAGTCAGGGTTGCAGATAGATCTTGTACATTGATATTGGATAAAAAACCTTTGGTGTCCATAGGTGTTGCATCACACATGATCAGAGTCTCTTCTGTTGATCAGAAGCATTGACAAGTAGTTATAGAACCAGACAATGTCATTACATACCTGCAGTATCAATTACAGATGGGCTGGAAGCATCTGTAAATGACGCCTCACCATCAGCACTTGCAATGTGGTGCAGTTGTTTGCCTGCAACGTTCAAACTGAGTGGTCCTGAGATGAAATGTACAAGATAACTTACTTGTATGAGGTCCATTTTCCATAGCACCCTTGTCAGACGCACTTTCGTCTACCGCATCCTTTGCTCCTCATTTGCTGCTGGTTGGTACTGGTTTGGGGCACTGATGGCAGGCACAGGAGGCTTGTTCCTATGGGCTGAGAGCTCTGGAGTCGCATCATTGTTGGTGTTGGTGAGTTGTGATGAAAGCATCACAGTTCATTGTGGTTGAGACACAACATGTCCTGATGTGGACTCATTGTCAGACACGATGATGGGCATGATTATTGAACGTGACTAACTTATGGTATGGGTATGTACTTGCCTTTTTGAGAAAATTTAAAACTGTATAGTTTAAATATTTAACATTGGCCAACGGCTGCAGACTTTTTACAAAGGAAAAAGCTGGGGCTTGGGCCCAGTCAAACTACAGGCCAGGCCCTAGGCCCTAGTAAGCCTGGCATGTGGGCCCAGCCTGGCCTGGCCTACATAGGGCCTGTCCTCAGGGCTTGAGGGCCTGAGGCCCAGCCCTGTGCATCACTAATGGTGCTGGATACCATTGGAATCCAAAGAAATTTTGCAATTCAGTTGCAAACCACATTGTGGGGTACTGTCATATCCTGTATGCCAGACATAGATCCTATCATATTCCCACGCTTTCCGGACCTATTTCTGGACCCCATATCCAACTCATTCCTGGATCCCCTATCCTGTCCACCCTATGCACATTCTGTCCAGCAAGACATCCAGACTTTACCTCCTCTCAGATTCCAGACTACATCCACCACCTCACATATCTCAGTCCTGTTTCTGCCCTGCATTCTGGATCCCCAGATCTCTGGACCTCCGGATATTAACTGTACTATCTCCGGACCTATTCCCACCCTCTGTCCGACATCCTGTGCCTATCCCCATTTAGGCATCTTTGCCTTTCCAGTTCTTGGTTATCTCTGTTTCCATCTTGCTGATTGATCCTTGTACTAGTTTCATCTCCGAGTTCATTTACTTATGCTCTGTCTTACTTACCAATGTGTTTCCACATGCTCATACATAGCCTTACTCCTTTGCTTACAGATCCTCTTGGATAGCCTCTAGTATATAACCCCTGTACAACTACAGTAGAGTCCTCAGTCTGAATATTATCTTAGATCCTGTTCATCACCTTAGACTTGCCCAATCTTCTTCCAGACTTCAGTCCATCTGAGTTTGTCCTTTTCCATAAGGCCTAGGGATGGATTCCCTAGGCTGGAATTCCGGACCTTTGGATTTGTCCCCTATGTCTCTGTCCCAAGTCTAGGGATTGCTTCCCTAGGCTAGAGTCTTGCCTTTCTGGCACTTACCCTCTTTCCGGATGTAGGTCCACTTCCTGTCCCTCCAACTCTACCTTAGGGTAGTCTACCTCCATTTGCTTCTACATCAGATGAAGTCCAATGTAGCCCCTATTCCTTCTGGACCTCCGGACCTCCTGTCTTCTGTACCTCCAGACATCCTGTCCCTCATACCTCTGGGCATCCTGTCCTTTGGATGTTCTGCCCTCCATACCTTCAGACATTCTGTCCTCCATACCTCTGGACCTCCTGTCCTCCATACTCCAGACCTCCAGACATCCTGTCCTCCGGACCTCCTACCCTTCCATCCTGTTTTCCTGTAGAAGTATTACCTTGCAGCGGGAACTCTCCTGAGCATTTCCTGCATTCCTCTGGAACTCTCCTGCACTCCTCCAGACATTTCCCACACTCCTCCGGAAGTCCTCCTGCACTCTCCACCAGAGTAGCCAGCCTCTGGAAGTCCTCTGGACTTTGTCAGACCATTATCGGACTTCCTCTGAAATGAAGGGCACATACTCGGGTAAGGGGCACAGCGTACGAGCTGAGGCCAAGCCCCTCTGAGTCAGTCTCTCTCTCCTTTGAGCATGGTTCTTAACAGTGAATATAACCATGACATATGGAAATTTTTGGTTTGTATAGTTAGATATGGTTTTAAAATAACATAATGACACCACTTTATAATTTATTTAATGGTGGCATGATTGTTATGGTGTCATAAATGATGATTTATATAGTTTTAATATGTGCTCAAAAAACTGTCTGCATGAGTCATGATTTTGTAAGCCTTGTATCTCCACCATATCTCCTCTGATTCTCACGGTGTGGTGCTCAATCCAAAGCCCTGAAGCAGCACTACAATATGGTATTAGCATGTCACTGAGGTCTTTATGTATTCTCACACAATATTGTAAATAGTAAAAAATGCAAAAACATGTGGACAGTTTTTTGAGCCACTGTACAGTGAAAATGTATGTGACTGTACATACAGTCATGTTATTATATAGTTGTGCATGTATGGGAAGGCTGTCAGGTTCACAGCTTATTATGTAATAATTCTAATCACTGAGAATCCAACCAAGTTCCCTTAGAGTTCATCACCCACTACTTCTGAGCTCAATGGTTTGTACCATTGAGTTTATCCTTCTCAATCTATGTGGGTCTCCAAGTACAACAGTCTGTACTGTCATGTTCACTGTTCTTGATCCCCACAATCCCTCCATTGTTGTTTTCCAGTGCAGCAAGATTATGGACATTGTGTCAAGCTTCATATTGGGATGAGTACAAGTACAAGGAGACATATGAGACCAGGTATTGGAGAAGTACAAGTTGAGTACAAGTGGGGAGACATATCAGAGACTGGTATGCTGTGTATATTACATCCAACTTGATCCTATGTTGTGATCAGATATTCATGGTCTCAGCCTCAGGATATTCTCCTGGCATTGTAGACCCTATCTCTTCATTAAGAGTGTTATCATGCTTCAAGGTATGCTCACTTACCTGCCCTGGAGATTGTTTTTAAATCTTCAATGTCATGCCCAGTGCCATTCTGAGCAATTGGAGTCTGCTTGTCACACCATTCATGATGCAATATGTGATCACATGTGGTATGAGATAATGTCTGTTGGTTGGGCCTTTTATTGATATTCAATTCATTTAGATCACCTGAAGTGAATCATCTGTCTTACTGGTCTGTCTGGGCTCTGCACAAGCAGCACCATATCATTAACATCAATGCATATCAATGCAGTTTGGAATGCTAGATGCATGCACTTGTGAACCTGGTCAGTGCATGGATCCATTAGTTTAAGGTGATGTTGTATATACTTGTCCACAGTTTTCTGCAGCCCATGAATGAGTCTTCTTCTCTTAGGGGACTGGTGCCCCTTACTTTTACCACTGGCAATGTTTCTCACCAGAATGACAGCCAGGGATTGGATCTTATTTTTGGTAAGCTGCAGGGTTTATTGACATTGTGGTTGTGCTAACCTCATCATCTTCCATAGCAGTGTCCACACATCCATATGTCCCACTAGCAGAACTCATGGGTAGGTCAATATCCATATCTGGTTCTATCCAGATGCCCTGACATTTGTCAGTTATGAAATGTTGGTAAGTGATTGACTCACAACATTGTCTTCATGCCATTGGAGAGCAAGCTGATAAGATTTCAATGATGCCTTGATTCCCCATTCAAGTTCCTGAATCTCATGTGCCTCCAAGAACCTTTAGGTGTGTGGTGAAGCTTTGGCATATGGGCTGAACCACATATTGAACACACTGTGTTTGCAAGAAGGCAAGTTGGATCCCACAACTTCTGTCATACTTACCAAGTTAAGTTTGGAAGATGATATTACACTGTAATCATTGTTTGTGACCCAGTCATAGTAGCCCTTGATTGCATTATGGTTGCTTCCTTACTTAATTGTCATCCCAAGTGTATTGTCATCTCAAATTCCAGAACAAAAAAAAAACAATTATGGGCCCTGATTAATGATTTATTAAGTTGCATTTGAGAGTAGTTACATTCCGATCATACTGATATCATGATGTAGTCTATTATGGGGAAGCCACACTCTCCCTGTGAACTTTGATCTGCATTTGTGTCAATTCACAATTGTTGTGCTGTTGTTGCAACACTATCAATAACAACCAAAATCCTAAACAAATAGGGGTGGTGTTGAGTGCACTTTTGCAAGGTGGTGCTGATCATATAAAATAAGCACTCATCCCTCATAGCTACACCAATTTTTCAAAGCCAAACCTGTAAAATGTAAGCCACTCCTGTCAAACCTGTTCTCACTGATACACAGTTTTTTTTACAGATGTTGTCAAACTTCAGATATGTGGATTCCCTGTCATCATTGCACTCCCTGGAGGTATGTTAAATTTGAAGCTACCACTATAATGCCACCTACTAACTACATGAAGGAGCATGTAACCTTAAAGCAAAAGGCTCTAGATGACTTCATAGACAGTTCTCAACATCCCTCTCACAAGAGGTGCACTTATGCCTCCTATCTTCTGTGGGCCCTGGCAGCATCTGTCATGTGTGATATATCCAAACCTGTGGAAGTGTCATATGCCATTCTGGACCCTTAACTCTAAATCTGCT